TGGTTTATGTTGCCTGCACTAAAATGTGATTTCAACAGATGTAGAAGCTGCACAATATTATTAATGGATTGCATCTTGTGATGCAAGAAGGAATTGTTTTCCGTTCTGCCCTTTATTCATTGCCTGCAGCACTGTTTCCATTCTCCTTCCGTTCACCTTCGCCCAAACTATGCTAGTCATCTTGCTCTCTACTGTGGCAAAATCGTGTGACTTACATTCTTCACGTAATTAATCCCATGAATTACGTACGTGGTGTTGTTATTACATTATTCCAACCACTTCATTTCAAGGCAAAGGAAACAATTCAAGTGGAGAGAAAAAACATGTATCTTTTGCTGACTGAAAGCAAATAAACGGATTATTTATTGTATTTGCTGGTTTTATTTCCGTTCTGCGCATGCGATTAATAAGTGAACACTAGCGATTCCTATTTCTGCTAGAATTCTCTAACATCCCTGTTGTGTCTCAGGTAAGTCATATTCTGAGTAGACACATTGAAATTGATGGACTTGGGCATGGTTAATGTAACTCTACTGATTCCAAAGATCTACTCTTAATTTGAGTGTGACATAGCTGGAGAACAGCCCAATATCTTCAAGTAGCTTCAATCTATAAGGAACTATAACCAGATTTTCTTCAGTATAAGAACATCTCCAAAGAGAATGGGCACATTGTAAGCATCAAGTACCTGATGAATCTAGTGTGTCACTTAATCCTGGAAGTGTGCTGAAGTTCAAATCTTGCTAAGAGCCTGTGGTAAATGCGCAGGTAAAAAAACTTGTTCCTGGTGCCCATCCAGTCGATAAATTAAGGCCAGAAAGGATGGGGTTTGGTATTCCTTTGGTTTGAGCAGAAGGCATATTACTGTGTTTAGAATAGACTTCCCATTAGCGATAACCTTGGAATCAGTGTGTGAAGATCAAGTTATGAAATTCTGCATGACACCTAATTACAGTGATATAGGGGTAGGTAGTAGACATTTCTCTCTATTTTCACACACACACACACACACACACACACACACACACACCATTTCAGTTGTGAATACCAAACAGCATCTTCCCACTGGTACTGCTAAAATTTTTCAAATCCTTATTTATAGGGGCTGGTTATTACAAGTCTCATTAGATCACCCCCCCCCTCCACAACTCCACCCAAAATCATAAAATCCCACTTGCCGATGTTTGAAGGGGGATTGTTGGGAATCATATTAAACTGGCCTCATCACTGATTTACTGCCAAAGAAATGAAGCCAGAATTTTACAAGATATTGCTAAGCTTGTAAAATAAGAATGCCATGCTTCCACTTAATAATAATTCCTCTGCACTCCATCGCCAAGGAAGGCATCCTAGCAAGGCAGATTTCAAAGAGAAAAGGGAGGAGGGGAATCAATAATTTCAGCAGGTGCCTGACTGGGTATTTGCAGCTTTGCTTGGGAAACAGGCATGCAAAAAGAAAAGAAAAGAAATGTTTGAAATGCAAAAAAGAATGATATTTCATTAGAGACCACCAGACTTGCATCCTTAGTGAGGCCCACAATGAGGATGGCCTTTACAGCAAGGTCCATATTCAGACACTTGGTATTTGTGGTCACCCTCAGCTGGAAGACATCACTCATTAGCTTTTGAGTGACAATTATAACTTTGTAACATGCAGAGTGACCCTTTATGAACTGGCTGTGAAAAAGCAGGAAAATTTAATTAGATAAAATCACTAAAAATTATCGCGGTGATTTGGAGGTTTAATCTGAAATCAAGAGGGATGGTGTCTCTGGTTAAACATCATGGAAATGGATTTTTAAAAGGCAAAATAATATTAGACTTGGGGCTTCCAGAGATGCACAAGGGAAACTGTGTTTTAATGCTCAGGAAATTGGTAAAGTCTTTTTTTTAATATTATGGATTTTTTTATATTGTGGATGCATGTTTTGCATTGTTTTTATTAATACTATATTGCATAATAAAAGTGTGCCATGTCTTTTGGCTAGAACAAGAAACTTACAACTATCCTTAAAAAATAGTAAAAGGTAAAGGTAAAGGACCCCTGGACGGTTAAGTCCAGTCAAAGGCAGCTATGGGGTTGCAGTGCTCATCTCGCTTTCAGGCCGAGGGAGCCGGCGTTTGTCCTCAAACAGCTTTCCGGGTCATGTGGCCAGCATGACTAAACCACTTCTGGTGCAATGGAACATCGTGACAGAAACCAGAGCGCACGGAAACACCATTTACCTTCCCGCTGCAGCAGTACTTATTTATCTACTTGCACTGGTGTGCTTTTGAACTGCTAGGTTGGCAGGAGCTGGGACAGAGCAACAGGAGCTCACCCCATCATAGGGCTTCGAATCGCCGACCTTCCGATCACCAAGCCCAAGAGGCTCAGTGGTTTAGACCACAACGCCATTGCAGTAGCATCAATAAATCCATCAACAAACACTGCTTCATAATGAAAAGAATGTTCCTGTGATTCATCAAAACACATTCTGAACGGTAGGGCCTAGAATGTTGTCACTGCTTTAGCTTGTACATTGAATCCACTGCTCCTGAAGAACCCAATTTATAAATTGAAAGTATGGGTGTGTGAATCAATAATAAAGATGGGTGCCTTATGTATTGGGTTGCCACTGTGCAATCATCCCTGAAGGATTAGACTCAAGGACTCTCAAGGACATCAGGAAAGTGTGACATGCGGGTGAATCAAATAAAATGCAACTGTGAATAGGTTTAGGAGTCAAATACTTCCCCACTGTGAAATCTGACATGGGAATCAGTAGGTTGAGTGTCTCCTTCGCATTCATTTCCTTAAAGGTGCAACTAACCAATTTCTTCTCCCATTGCCCTGGATGTCTATAAATTTGTGTCCATCTTCTCCATTTTAGAATACAGAAATGTGGAGGTCATCTCAGAATCCAGAGGCAAGCCCACTCCCAGGCTTCCAGACAGTGTCTTTAACAATCTCACTTTATGTGGGACATGGGGTAGAAGTCACATAAAAGATGGTTGCTGGGGAAGGTGTGTATTCAACACCTTGCCCGTACTTCTAGTTCAGTCGACCATACAGATTTATCTTTCTACAAAACAATAAAAAAAACAGCAAAGGGGTGCTGGATCCTACCAACCTTGGAATCCATACTCTTTGGCTGTTTCTACAGTTTCTATCCCCAAAGGGAACAGATGAACATAGAAAACTGCCTTATACTGAGTCAGACCATTCATCTATTGAATTCAGAATTGACTGGCAGCATCTCTTGAGGGTTTCAAACAGTGGTTTCTTCCAGTCCTACCTGGAGTATTGAAACTATAGTGGGGGTTTTTGCCATAGGAGCCACCATGGAGCTTGTCCCTTCATATTGGAGCTCTGAATAAACAAGAGATGCAGCTACTGAGAAGCATCTTGCTGCACATCACAAATGGTCAAGAATCCTGAAGTGCTCAGGTGATATTAAGACCAACTATGTCAGAGGAACAATCAACTATGTTAGACAGGCTCCAATCTTCATGACTCGGCCGCAAAGCAGAGCTCTCAAAGTTTAAACCAATTAAAACGAGTGTTTAGCTAAATGTAGTTCGACCAAATGCTCTGGTCCATGGGGTCAAGAAGAGTCGGACATGACTAAACGACTAAACAACAACAACAACAAGTTCGTTATAATTTTTGCTATGAATCTTATCATCTGAATTGTTGAGTTGCCAGGGCTGAAAATTGCAACAGTAATCTGCTCAGGCAGCTCAGAAAACCATCATGAAATGCATCTGATTAGTTTTCACTCCTCATCCTCAATCTACCTTTCCCCAATAAATAAGCATTACTGTCGGGAAATGGTACATGGTCTCCTGGAGAGAAATAGCTAGTGCCAATGTTAATCCTTTACTGTGTATCAGGAAGGTGTTAGGTGCTATACTTCTACCAATGGTTTTGTATGCTGTTGCCACCAGTATATGCACTTCACAAATACTTTACCCTAGTGTATGCATTTTTGTACACACTACTTTGCTGGAGAAGTGCATTGCAAAATTCAGAGTTGTGCAAATTTCGAAGAATGGGTGCGTTTTTGTTTTGTATTGTTTTGGAAAGTACAAATGCCAATTTTAAATGCCCACTGAATCAGACTTCTTCTTCCTCATTCCTAGTCCCCATCCCAAACCATTTGAGGAATTCCATACTGCCCCCCTCCCCAAACTTTGAAATCCCACCTCCACATTTGCTAGAGTATATAAGGATAACAAAATACATTTTTAAAAAACAACAACAACATATTGACACAGAGTAAGTTGATTCCCAAAAGCACCAACAATCTAGAGTGCCTGGAAAAACTTTGCTTGGCACCAGAAAGCTAGTCAGACTTTTACATTAACTTGGCTTTTATCTCTAGCAAGTAGTTCTACCTCCAGGTTGCTTGGAACAACTCGCTTTCTTTTATAGTGAAATAGAATATGTTACTAAACAGAATATACCTTCTCCCCACCCTCCCACCCCAGCTCATTGCCATGATTTCCAAAGAATGCTGTTAAAATATAATTCTGAATAAACTCTAACAACTTTTTTGGGGGGAAGTTAGGGATCGCGGATGGCACCTTGTCCACCAGCCCCTACTCAAGAAAGAGGGGTATGGGAAGTAAAGGACCCCTGGACAGGTAAGTCCAGTCAAAGGTGACTATGGGTTTGCGGCGCTCATCTCACTTTCAGGCCAAGGGAGCCAGCGTTTGTCCACAGACAGCTTTCTGAGTCATGTGACAAGGATGACTCAACCGCTTCAGGCGCAATGGAACCCGTGACAGAAACCAGAGCGCACGGAAATGCCATTTACCTTCCTGCTGTAGTGGTGCCTATTTATCTACTTGCACTGGTGTGCTTTCGGACTGCTAGGTTGGCAGAAGCTGGGACAGAACAACGGGAGCTCACTCCATCACGGGGATTTGAAACATTGACCTTCTGATCGGCATGCCCAAGAGGCTCAGTGGTTTAGACCACGTTCCATGGTATGGGAAGTACCAAACAGCCAGCAGCCAAGATAGCTCAGTTGGTAGAGCATTAGACACTTAATCTCAAGGTTGTGGGTTCCAGCCCCACATTGGGCAAAAGATTCCTGCATTGCAGAGGGTTGGACTAGATGACCCTTGTGGTCCTTTCCAACTCTTTAATTCTATAATTCTAATTAAGCACATATCTTTAAGCAAGTATCTTTGGGGAAGGAGTGTAGGTCAGTGGTAGGGTATCTACTTTGCCTGCAGAAGGTCCCAGATTTGATTCCTGGCATCTCCAGGTTGGGCTGAGAATACCGCCTATCTGAAATCCTGGACAGGTGTTGTCAGTCAGTGCAGAAAACACTGATCTAGATGGACCAATGGGGAGATTCAGTCTAAGGCAGCTTCCAATGTTCAGCTCAGAAATTTGCATATCCAGAGAATATTGCTGCATAATATTTTAAGGCTGTAACGCTGAAACCTGGGAGCGATTTTAGCAATACATGTTCACAAGCGTGACTTCGAAGAAGCAAAGGAAAACCCACCTTTGACACACACAAAATCCACTTTGACTGAAAAGAGAAGCTTGATGGGAGATGCTGAGCTATCATAATTCTTCTGAAACAGGAGGGTCGACTTTTAGAGAGAGATGTATTGACTGGAAACATCAAATTTTATCCACAGAAGCTGACAGCCTTTCAAGTATTTATACTGGCACGGTTTATAGGTTCTAACACATGACATTATCAATGTATTCTGCCCTTTGAAAGAACTCTTCCATATTTTCGCCATTTAATATTCACTGCTGAGTGGTACCTGATAGAAAAGGAATGACAGGTTCAAATGTAGAATTAGACAACGCTAGATCAATCTGTTCCCTGGCGAACATCCATTTGAAAGCATGGACATTTCCAAGGAAACTCGTATTCTTTCTCTGCAGTGATTCAACATTTGCTGCACTTCTGTGAAGCTGTATGACTACTTCAGAAGCATATCCATCATCGTTATTACTGATCCTGAAGCATGCAAGCAAGAGGCAGGGCAGAGTGCTACCTTGCAAGTTTGTGAATTCACACCTTTGGGAACTTTAACAGTCATTATTCACCTCCCATTAGAATAAAATGCAAACTGAACCGAGCTTTGTAATTTGTCTCAGGTAATAACGTGCATGCAACACTCCCAAATTAATTATTTGCCATATAATTATTCTGGTTAGCTTCAAGCGCTGAATTGGATACATATTTCCCCAGAAAAAAAACGGAAAAGAAGAGAGAGAGAGAGAGAGAGAGAGAGAGAGAGAGAGAGAGAGAGAGAGAGAGAAGCTACTTTGAACAGGCTCAGACCATTGGTTCATCTAGTTCAGGGATGTCCAACTCCGAAGAGACTGCGATCTACTCACAGGGGGGGAAAACTGGCAGTGATCTAACGCTTTTTGGGGGGTTCAGGCCAAAGTAGTTGAGCTTTTCTTAGGAAGGAAAGCCCCATTATTAAGGGGGAAATGTCAGACTAGGGTAAAGGGAGGAAAAGATTGCTATGGGAAAAATCTGCATCACAGCGAAATCTCCATCTTCCGTTCCAGCAATCATGCGAAAATGGAGGGCAGGGAGAGGGGCTAGGGCCAGGGCCAGCTGCTCTTAGGCTAAAGCAAATCGACCTGTTAGACATCCCTGATCTAGTTCAATGAGGGATGGAGACGAAATTCAATTGGCATTTAAAGGCGAACCAACTTAATCACATTTTCCAAACTGATAAACCCCCATCCTTCAAAACCAACGTCTCCAAATTTTGAAATGTAGTTCTCCAACTAAGAAAGCCGAGTTATGTTTACCAAACATAAGCATGCATGAAAATGCCTACATTGATGAAAGCAACATACACAAAAGGGAAAAGCCTTGCAAAAATATGTATTTTAGGCAAAATTGCATACAAAAATGTGTATATTCAGAGAAATTTGCACTGAAATGCTGATGAAATTTCAGGAGGACTTTTTTTAAACAACAACAACTGCAAACTGATGTGGAAATGTGAGGAACTGAAATTAAGGTTGTAAAAATTAGAATCTGGAAGAACTGGAACTGACTAAGTTTCCCATTCCTACGTCCAGTTATGCTTGGTAGCAAGCCCCTAATCCAAAAATGGTGGACCTGTGGTCCTCCAGATGTTGTTGGACTCCAAATCCCATAATTCCTGGTCATCTGGCATGGTGGCTGAGGCTGATGGGGGTCCAAACACGTCTGGAGGACCATAAGCTCACTATTCCTACCCTAATCTGAGGCTTTTAGGAAGGTTGCAGGGTGGGGAAGAAGAAGATCTGCCCTTCCTCATTTCTTTTTTTAAAAAATCCCTTTATACTGAATGGTAGGGATGGAATTTCTCTACTATACATGGGGATGGAATTTCCCAAAACACCTTAATGTCAAGCTTACCTTATATGTACTGTTTGTTATCTCGCTCTTGTGCTTGATAACACCGTGTCTCATCAGCTTGGGGAGTTGATTAAGTAATCTTGTACTTAAAGGGAACTTGTCCCAGGTTAAGCACTTCTTCGTTGGATTTTAAATTAAAATTCCTGTTGTACTAAAATGAAATGGCTATACATGAACCTTACCCGTCTGAGTAGAGGAGTGAATTTTATGAACTCACTTTCAAAATAAATAGAATGATGATGGGTCCCGAACTTGTACTTGCTGCTGAATACAATCCTCATCTATCCCGTAAAATCATTCTGCAATACTAGCAGCAATAAATCTGCACACTACCCCTTTGACTGCTTAACTTCTTACCTTCTTACATATGGAGGAGCACCATAATCCTTTCAGTGCTTAGACCCTCTAATGGGCTTGATCCGGCACTGCTTCTCACACAGCAGCAAATAGTCTCTTGGTGTGGCACGAATTTCTATTGCTAAAACTACAAAACACAAAGTACCGTACTTTTCTGTGTATAAGACTAGGTTTTTTCCCTTTTAAATCATGCTAAAAAGTGGGGGTTGTCTTATACATGGGTAGTGCATAGGGTAGACGTTTGATTGGCTGCTGCCACGGCTGTCAGCAGCTACTGTGCATGTTATTGGTTGCTGCGTCAATGGGTGGTGTTGATTGGCTGATGCTGTGGCAATTGGGCAGGCGATTGGCACCTTCTGCCAGTGAGGGGACAGATGGGAGGCAGCTTTTTTGACTCGTGTGGGTGAGCGATTTTCGGCATCCCCCCTAAAATAAGCTCAACAACCCTCGGTAATCCTCCCCCAAAAGCTCAAGAACGTTTTGCCATTTCCCTCCATTTTCTGAAATTTCAGTCCCCCAAAATAGGGGTCATCTTATACATGGGGGCGTCTTATAGATGGAAAAGTACAGTATCTACACTGGTGCATTTTTATAAATCATTGTAATATTTTTATTTTGCAAATATAACCACAATTTTTGATTTTGTGAACCACCCTGAAATCTTATGATGAAGAGCGGCATATAAATTTAATAAAGAAGAAGAAGAAGAAGAAGAAGAAGAAAGAAAGAAAGAAAGAAAGAGTCAACTTAACTGATAAAAATAACCCATCAATCCCGACTTAAACATATACATTAATCTAAGCAGTTCATGTGTTCATTAACAGATATTGAAGTGAGATTGACAATTCGAAGATACCCATTCAAATACAGAAAACAGTGAGATCTTTCAATCACTGAGTGGCAGATGGGGGGGGGGATTATCCTTTCAGCCTTGAAGTATAAGTCTCTTTACAACCATGAGAGCTCACAGCATTTCCCTGGCACATTGATAGGCTGCCATCCTTTTGCACACTAACTTTGACGGGAAGTAATTGGAGAATTTTATTGGAGAATTAGGAAACGCTTCTTAGTTCAGAACAAAAAAAACCCCCTCTCATTGTGAGCAGGGGGATGGGGATATAAATGCTCCCTATATCCAATGGCCATTTATTGCTGCACATTTATGTTTCATTACTGTTGATTTTGAAAAGTTATTGAAGCACAGATGTGGGAGAATATGTGCCGATTGCCACATAGGCAGTAAATAATGCATCTGGCCTTATGCTGTTGCAAAATTGGTCATTTCAGAACACAATAAAGGGAGACATTTTCTGAACAAATTATTTTCCACACTTCCTTTTCTATCAATGTCTTTTCTCAATAATGGGCAATATTGGCAAACCTTAGCAGCAGTATATGATCGTTTCCAAATTCACGTCCTCCACCAATCCCTCCAAATAATTAAAGGGTCAAGACAGATATAATGTCCTTCCAGGAGCAGGTGATGCTATTTCTGCTGTGGCATCCCCATACCTTTGCTCCTCTTCACTATAATGACCAGCCAATCGGCTCTCTGCAGAGCCAGGTGAAAGGAATGCAGCTTCAGTGCCAGCCAACTACGTAAGTTGTGTAATAATAGACCTTCCACCTTAATAAGCACAAACTTGAAAGTTTTTTGTTTCCTGGTATGTCCCATGGAGGACCTTACAGTCTTCGAATAAAAATATCTTGGAGGTCCCGGGCCACAGGGAGGTTAGGCTGGCCTCAACCAGAGCCAGGGCTTTTTCGGCTGTGGCCCTGATCTGGTGGAACGCTCTGTCACAAGAGACTAGGGCCCTGAGGGACTTGACTTCTTTCCGTAGGGTCTGCAAGACAGAGCTGTTCCACCAGGCCTTTGGCCAAGGCACAGTCTGACCCCCTCCTTTGGTAATCCTCATAGAACTCTAGCCCAATGGTTGCCATTAATTTGATTTTGAATTGATTTTAGAATGAATTGATTTCAGAATGCTATGTTGCTTTTATTGTTGTTAGCCGCTCTGAGCCCGGCTTCGGCTGGGGAGGGTGGGATATAAATAAATTATTATTATTATTATTATTATTATTATTATTATTATTTACCAATGGTATTTGATACCACTGATATCATACAGAGGAACACTGACAGCTCCCTGCCCACAATATTACAGAGGCTTCAACCAGGTGGGCATGATTTAATATAATAATAATAATAATAATAATAATAATAATAATAATTCTCCAGCCACTCTGGGCAGCTCCCAACAGAATATTAAAAACACAACAAAACATCAGACATTAAAAACTTCCCTAAACAGGGCTGCCTTCAGATGTCTTCTAAAAGTCACATACACTCAAACCTCTTCTTACGTCCGCCTCCACATGCGGCCATCTTGACCAATGTCTGCAGCAAACCCGGAAGTAACCGGTGGGTTTGAACACCATTCGCCGTTCACACATGTGCAGAAGCGGGCAATCGCCGGCTGCGCCTGCGCATAATGGTGCCTCTCCCAGCGATCCA